TACAGTAGAGCGTCGTTTATCCGAATCAATTGGGGACTGGGGTGGTTCGGATAACGAATCATGTACGAAAAAATATATTAATTTATCCCATGTTGAATTTTTTCTCCGTTGCGTGTCGCTTCGCGTTGAATTTTCGTCGATGTTAAGCCTAACGAAGACTATTGTATCGTTAAAAATTATTTTTTTATTTTATACAAACATAATAAATATATTGAAAAATATAAAAACAATAAAAAATTATACTTCAGATGCTAATTTAGTATCAAAAACGTAAAATATTTGAGTAACCCAAGAAATAGCCGAAGATTGCAGCGCCACAGCACTAGCAAAAATTTAAATTTGCCGACTGGAATGCTTTCGGATAAACGACGCTCTACTGTATAGCTAATAACACAGGCAATCTCTGTAGGAAAATGTCCTTGTTTATATTACATTCCATTACTTAAACCCCGAATTTAGCGCGAGTCGATTTTTTAACGGAAAATAAATGGTCAAAAGATATCGCGTTATATTCGGGCTAATACGGTATATGCATTAGTTGTATAATAAATTATGTAAAAATTCTTCCTATATACGATCAAATTCGTAAGTATGAAAGAGAGGCTTGAAGGTGGTTTTTTCTTTTTACATTTTGTAAATTTTTAATCTGAAATGGCTATGGCCCTCTGTTCTCAGTTTTTGGTTATCAGTTTTTGTCCACATTACATTGGATAATCAATATTCTACTGTATTCAATAACTTGCTTTAGAAATGTTCAATGACAATATTTTATTTTAAGAATTTTTTAGTAAACTTATGTAGTTGCTTAAAATAGAATGTATGTACTGTACATGTGTAATTTTATATCTTGCATTTTTTTTACATGTAGTATTTATAAATTTTATATTTTAGGAGAAAAAAATGTTACTTGATTTACAGCTTGAGATAAAGAATGAATTAGAAGAAATGAAAGCAGTAAAATCAGAAAAGGATAAAGAAATAAGTCAAATAAATAATGTAAGTTTATAAATTATTTAATTTAATTTTTTTTTATTAAAAAATGAGAGAGTTTATGCCACTCAACTTTTGCAGTGCATAAATTTTATTACAAAATAAAAACAGTAATAAATTTTAAACTGAATACAAACAACAAATCATAGCATCATCTACTTTTTAAAATGAAAGAACTTCAGTATTTTTTTTTTCCTTTCATGAAGTTTGATTGAATTTGATTATTGTACAGAGAGCTGTAATTTCTTCAGCCTAATAATCAATACTTCAGGAATATATTTTGAATTATTAGTTGTTTCAGTTATTTGAGAATACAGTGGTACCTCAGGATACGAAATTAATCCGTTTTGACACTGAGATCGTATCATGAAAATGTCGTAAGGTGAATCATTTTTCCCCATACGATCACATGTAAAACCAAATAATTCGTTCCAACACGAAAAAAAACACTCAAATTAAAGCTAAGTAATACATTAAAAAAAACTATAGTAAGGAAAACACTGAAAAAATGCGTTTTGTAGTTGTAAATGTATAAATAATCGTAATAGAATAATAATTGATTTTAAAAAAATGTAGTTTTATTTGCACTTTACCTTTGAGGATAGACGACGGTGGAGGTGTAAATTGGTGGCGGAAGAGAGGGATAAGGGAAATGATACTAAAACTTAACTTACATAACATAATGTAACAATAACTTAAAATAACGTAGAAAAGATTTTAAAAAATTAGTGTTGTTTTATTTTTTATTTTTTAAAATTTTTATCCACTGTTTGTTGCTTTCTTTCCTTCACTTCTACCAGCACTTTCACTGGATAGAGGTCGCTTGGTAAAATATCTATCCAAAGAGGTTTGGCTTTGCTTACTTTTTAAAATGTAATGTTTCTAAAATGACTTAGGCAAATGTCATTACTCCGAGCAGCAATACGGCCATTGTGAAACTTTTCGCGGTGTTTCTTTTCAATAAAATCAGTCACTTTCTGATAATACCTCAAGATTTCCTTTATTGAGCGAGATCCTTCCACGACGAAGCAAACACGCGGACTAAGACCAACGAACAGAAGTGAATAAAAAATGGCGCTGTGAACTAATGTAACATCGTATGGTGAGTTTTTGTTCGTATTGTGGAGCAAAAATATGTTCAAATTTCATGTCGTATCCTGAAAATTTCGTATGCTGGGGCGTTCATATCCTGAGGTACCACTGTATTACTACTACTGACAATGAAATGCTGAAAGATTTAATAATTGCAATTATTAAATCTTTCAGCATTTACAAAAACTTAAAAACAAACTTTCTGTACAATTATATTAGATTTTGTGCAAAGTTTTGTGTGATTTTAATATTCCTTGAATAAGTCAATTGTTGGTTTAAAAAAATTATCTTTCTTTCTGATGTATCAGGATTTATTTTGAAAATATATCTCTTTCATATTTAAGATTACAATCTCTAAATCTACCACAAATGGTGATCATACCAAAATCTGTCTAAATGTAGTGGCAGGAAAATTATTCTATTGAGACCAAGTATTGGATAGAATTTTATTTTCTAAAATATTTTTTTGTTTTAGTATGTAATCATTTTTTTATTAGCTATGAAAACCTAATAATCAAAAAATTGTCATGAATATTAGTTAAAATGTTATCAAGACTAAAAATTTTTGTAAAAGCTGTCAAAACATGAAACAACAATTTTATTGGTCTTATTTATCTCTTCAGTTTTGTAAAGCACTTCCCAAATTGCTAAAGACCTAAACTGAGTTCATAAAAATTATATATAAGGGGATCTTTATGATGATAAAAGAAAAATTAAGTTTGTCTGTGTATATTAAAAGCTCAATTTATTTAATAGGAACTGCAACAAATGAAATTTCAGTTGGAAAAGGAAAAGAAAATTAACAATGAATTGTCAGATCAAATAACAAATCTTAATTTATTAGTTAAAACAAGTCAAGATGCTATAAAGGTTGAACAAGATCTTGTCAAAGAACTTCAAGCCCAATTATGTATGAATAAAGTAAGTGTCTATTTTAAATTGAAATAATAATTTGTTTTTATCTGAATTGACATTAGTTAACTAGACTTCCTATATTTTTTTCATGTCTATTGAAACTGATTGTATATTAAAAACTATTTAAAGATTATACTTAGTTTTCTCTTACTAAATAAATTATGAAATTTGGTTTTCCATTTATCAAAGCTAGTTATCCCTGTGCAAATTATTTGTGTGTGTATGTATAACAAAATAGTGAATGTAAAAAATTATTTGGGAAATTGTGATGGGAACAGGAAATTATTCTGACCGAATTTTTGGTAACTGGATTACTCACAAATAGTTTTTGCAGTTCTCCTCAATTTCTGAGTTCACTTTTTGTTTTTGATGGAATGAGGCAAAGCAACACTGGGTGATCTGCCAAGAGAGTGCCTCCCAGGAAGACTTTCTAGGGAAACTGGCTCCTATTTAAATTTACACATGAAGAAAACATAAGTTCATGTAGCCATCCTTTTGGTCAGACACAAACCCCCACCGTCAGTGCTCAGTGGTTTTATCCACTCATTTATTTTTTGTTCAGTGTTAGTAGTTAACAATTTGCTTACCCTATATTACTGTTGTAATGGGATTGATATTTAATTTAAAAATACTCTAATTTTTGTTTGATTTCAACACTGTTTCACCGTTTAATAATATGCATACTTCCAAAATGAATCATTTAATGTAGAAAGTGAGTGCTGAAAAATCATTCTGATAACTTTGAATTTATTTTTTTAATTTTAACAAATTAAATTTTTTTTGTCTGATTATGATTTAATAAAAATATCACCCACAATGGCATTAAAAGTAAATTGTAAAGTTTTTAAGAACATATTGTGAAAAGACAGTACAGTAGAGCATCGTTTATCAGAAAGCTGATCAACCGAAAGCATTCCAGTCAGACTGTGTCGTGCTGAATCGAACGTTTTCGATACTGGATTAACTTCCAAAATATAATTTTTTGTTTTTATATTTTTCAATATATTTATTTTGTTTGTACGAAATAAAGAAATAATTTTTAATGATACAATGGCCACGATATATTTTTAAAAATTTACGTTAGGCTTAACATCGACGAAAATTCAATGCAAAGCAACACACAATGGAGAAAAATTTAAACATGGGATAGGTTGGTTAATATATTTTTTGTACATAATCAGTTATCCGAACAACCCCAGTCCCCAATTAATTTGGATAAATGACGCTCTACTGTAATTGAAATTGATGATGTAGCCTTTAGTAGAGAGAGAGAGGAAGGGATGTCGTTTTTTGGAAAAATTCTTTTGAATGAATTAATAAAAAGTAAGAATCACGGCAGGAATCGTAAATCATATCTGTAAAAATGTGTAAATTGTAGCGATCTGAATGGTATCCCTTGGTACTTGATTGCTGCTGCTTGTTCTTTTTTCTTTAGATTGTTGGAAATGAGTACAAAATTTCTGTAAAGAACTTATCATACAGGAACACCAGATATGTATAAAATGACAGTGGAAAAATGCATTTCCTTATTTAGATATGTATAATCAGTCATCTAGTGTTCCAATGAGTTCTCTACAGCTATTTTGTACTCCCAACATTCTAGAAAGTTTTCTCTACAGTTACTTGCAATGATTTGTATAGTAGATTTAAGGAGCCTTACAGATATTACTGTATGTGATGATTTACATAATAACTTTTTTACATGCAAAGTTGTCAGGTCTGAAATATTTCATTTGTTCATTTGTTTATTTTAGTTAAATCTAAAATTAATTGTTAGTAGAAATGAAGCAAGATAAAGTATCATCAAATATTCATTTCTGTTTTTAAATTGCATACTAGCTGTCACTTTTTTAACAATAAATTCAGAGGTATGGAGTATCTAACAGTGCAGGTTTGTCACCATAGACATATGCAAGAAATTGATTGTAAATTTAAATAAAACACTTACTTCAGAGATTCAGAAGATATGAACTTTACATTAACGTGTAGTCCAGATAAGTTATCATCAGTTGTCAATATTCATAATAAATAGGAAAATTTATTTTGTTGAATGATTTTAATTCACAAATTGTTTGCTTCAAAACAATTTTTTTAATTTCAGAATTCTTCAAATGGTCCCACTATTCAGGCTGAAATGCCAATAACTGCAAATGTAAGTTTTTTTTTTTTTTTTTTTGTTAAAATATTATTTTAAATTCTTAACCACTCTAAAAATCTTTTTTAAGTCATTTACTAACTACTAGCATATATAATATTTAAAACTTGCAGTCACGATCAGTACAAGTAAAGAGTGATAAACCTAAAAAGTCCAGGAAAAGGGTAAGGATCTAACATATCTGCATGCCATGTAAACAACATTTCTTAACTGTTGTTAAAATTTTGATTTTATTAATGTCAGTCTTCACATTTTGCATTGTATCTAATACTATATTTTTTCATAAATCTAAAAAATATATCTTCTGAATCTGCTTCTGACACAATAAAATGCTATAAATTAAGACACTTGGTGGTTTTTCTCATATTTATTTTGTTGATAGGCAGTTTCATATCATTAAAAGAATATCTTCTGAATTTTTATATTTTTATCTATCACATTTTTTAATAGAGTAGTTTGCATAAAATGATAAATTAACTGTGCAGTAATTTGAATTCTTAACATTTTGTTTAGTGATTTTTCAAGGAAATCAAATTACAGAAATGTAAATTTGTCATCTATCTTAATTGCTTTGCAATCAAAGTGTTTATTGAATTATTTTTATTCTCAGATACTTGTTAGAATTACATAATTTATATAAAAAGTAAGATTTTTTTAAAGCAGCTTTAATATTACAAAACTATTTTTCTTATAATACTGATCCTGTTTTATATGAATTTTTCTTAAATGCAAATTCATTTTCTCAAATTTGTGCAAAGAATTGACAATTATTACCAACCCCTAGAAAGTTGAGTATGTGGAAAGTCCAAATGTTGCACAAAATTGTATATTATAGAAATTGGTAAAACAACTTTGCTAATGAACTTCAGGATTTAAAATTTGATTCTGCTTTTGAAACTTAAATTTTCTAGAATATCTTGGAAATTACTTTTGCAGTCAAAACTGCCAAAAAATCAATGCATTTATTTTAAAGGAAGAGCATAATTTCTTTTGAGTGAATGTCATAAGATTAATTTATTTGAAATGTTTAAAATTTCATGAGATAGCAAAGCAGACCTATCTTGGTTTGATTTGCTTATCTCTGCTCTGATTAGTTAGTTTTTGTACAAGAAATATTTTAAAACCAACTAATAAATTATGTAATAATCACTATGTAATTTTTTAAACAAATCTGTGTTTCTTGTGAAACATTCTGTATGTAAAAGAAATGCATCTATGCTTAACATGAAATTTAACTCTACTCAAGAACCTTGTTTCATGCCTTGAATAAGACTTATAGAAGAAAAAGGCAGTTGTTCTAAAATTAAACAAATATTAAAGCTGTATCAAGTGTATAGATTACTGTATTTGTTCTAGACTTCAATGTTAGAACAATGTATATGATGATAAAAAACTATGTATTTTGAAGTCCAAATCCAAATTTTGAAAAAGTCACATATCTTTGGAAGTTGGCCATCCAGCCACCCTCCAAAGATATATTTATAATTCAAATTTTTACCTTAATTAGAAGCAAAAAGGTTAGTAATTAGTAAATTTTATAACATTAGCTTTATTGATAATTCTGGAAATTTCAGCATTTGTCTTTGGACATTCTTGGATGATTTTTTTTCTTTTCAAATAATACAATTATATGTAATCAATCTTTCAAGATGGTTTAAACAATTTTCAGTCATTCCTATTCTGTGATGAATCATTGTTTCCTCCATGACTTATTGCTGTTATGATTTTATTGTATTGTGTGAAATTCCTACTTTGAAATATAAACTTTCATTAAAAATACAGTAGCCCCTCGTTATATTGCGGATTTGGATATATCATAATATACAAAACTCCCTTCAAAATTTTACAAGCACTCAAGTCAATAAACTTTAAATTACTTGTTGCCATTGAATTTCTCTTTGCAACAAAATATGTATTTTATTCCTACCATTGTCCTTGAAACTACCACTGTGGGTGAAAAGAATAAATTTGTCAAGATCTAAATAAGCAAAACAGGTGGACAGATCAATTATCATTTGTTTCCTTTTGATATTAAAAGTTGTGAGGAGACAGTACTTAAAACCAATAAATAAACAAATTTCTGTGAAATTTCAAATTCACTGCATAATGCATAAGGAAAAGATTTATTTTTGAATGGAAAGTTCTAAAATTTTTATCTCTGCTTTTCAGTGGCATGTCATACATGGAAACTGTGGAAGCGCCGCTTCCCTTGTATTTTCTAAAATATAAATATGTATTGTGCAATTATTTTCATATTTTAACATACTTTGAATTAATTAAAATTGGTATTTTATTATAACCACATTATGTATCTTATTACAAATTTCTGTGTTTTTTTTCTTTATGACTAGATGTAAAAATGCTTTGTCTATTAATACACCATCTTTATTCTGAATTTTCTATAGGCCAATACGTGTTTCAGGCAAAGGCCCCTCATCTGTCGGCATGACATCCAGGATTTTCTTTGTGTTGTGTTGATACTTATACATTTCATTTAAAATTACATATTTACACAAAGTTAATAAATACATATGGAACACAAAGTTAATAAATAGTGGTTACTATATTTTTTTGGAAAGGACTTTGTCTTCAAAAGAATTAATACATATTTACAGTTAAAATATCATTGCAGTTTAAAATATATTTACGATTTAAACTGCAATTAAATATATTTTAACTGTAAATACATAATCTTAAACAAAATGTATAAATATCAACACAACACAAAGAAAATCCCAGATGTCGTGCCGATGGATGAAGGGCTTTTGCGTGAAATTCATATTGGCCTTTAGAAAATTCAGAATAAAGATGATGTAAAAATGCCTTGTGTCTATTAATACACCTAGTTGTGAAAAAAAACAAATAAAAGAAGACAAGGTCTTGGAATACATAACAAATTTCTATACTACATGTGAAAAACAATAAGATTGCTATTGTATATTTGAATATAAATTTGTATATTTGTATTCCCAATGGAAGTGCTGTATTTTCTAATACGGGACAGCTTCCACAGTAAAAATATTTGAATGGTGTAAAGTAGCCGGATTATACACATTCACGCATGCATTTTACAGAGCACCAACCTCACATAGATGCTACACACCAAAACATCATATAACACTGCTTCCAATGATTCTATTCAGGGCCCACACAGCTTTCCTATCATCAAATGTCACCACATTCCACTGATGCTTCAATTGAAGCAGCAGTGGAATGTGAAACTAATTTATTTTTTAAATTACTGTATAATTTTTATTGAAAAATAAATTACACAAATTTTTAATGAGATTCATTATGAAATATAGTATACTCTATAATAAAATTGCAACTGATATATTTGTTTTTATATTGACAGTATTTGCTTTAAATGTTGTTGTTAAATAAACAATAATGCTAAATGGATGTTTGTGGTATCAATATTTATGTAAACGTCAATTAATACGATATAACCACAAATAAAATTTGGTATTAAAAAACAGCTTACTTTATATCAAACACTTGCTAATGAATATATATTCCATAGCATATATGATCTATGTAGTAAAAGCCTAGAATTTTTAGTACTTTGTTACATTGCACTTTTTCTTTGTCTCTCAACAAGCAGGATGATATAAGGAGGCTATTGTATTTTTTCCTTCTTTCAATTGGAATTCTTTTAATGAAACTAAGTTTGACAGCATTTTATTTTTATTATTATTTTATTTATTTTATTATTTTTTTAAAGGTAATATCAGTTTGTCCAAATTTTACTTTTTAGATACAAGCTTGCATAGAACTTGAAAAAGTTGCTATTAACTTCTTACAGTTCTGTGTTTATTAATGTATTCTCATGGAATGTTGAATTCTTAATGCATTAATATACATTAAGAATTTAACATTCCATGCGTAATGCTAATTTATTTATGGTCAAAAATTACTTGAATAATTGCAACAATCTCCAAATAGCTAGATGCTACTGGAGATATATTACAACAAATTTTGTATTTTTTGCACTGAATAAACAAATAATTATTTAATAAAATGTCAATCAAGCATTCTTTCAAAAGACACTTCACTTTTAATTTTTTTTAATATTCTTTTCTGTTAATGTTAATTTGAATTTTGTGTGTGTATTATGATCTCACTCTTACTACATAAAAATTTCCAAATGATGCACTCTATGAAATTTCATGTTTTATTAAAAAGAAGTTTGATTCCAAAATACAATAAAAATTATAATAGCAATAATTCATGGAAGGAAACTTAATGATTCATCATAAAGCAGGAATTACTGAATTGTTTATAGCACTTTCACTGAAAAATTTTAAATGCATATACTGTAAGGTCTCGTTTTATGCGGTGGATATGTTCTACAGAAAAGGGCATATAAAAAATTCGCATAAAAAAAAACTTTACTTGCCTTGAAAAAGTAGGGATACGTTCCGTAATTTTCTAAAATCGCATAAAACCAAAACAACAAGTTAAAATTAACTTAAAACCGCATAAAAAGAATTTGCAGAAATTAAGAGAAATAGGCTGCTTAATAAATTACTTCGAATGTCTGAAAGAAATTCATATAAAAGCTTAAAATAAACTTGTATTCAAACTTAATTCAGTTCATTTTATTGAAAAGTAATACAAGGGGAATCCCCGAATTGCAAAAGCTCACTCTAAAAACAAATCACTGACATCTGGATGTGAAGAGTTAATTAAAAACCCCTTTAGTTCCTCGCCCGAGTTAACTCGGGCAGGTTACATAGCGTTACATAAAACACGGTCCTTAAGGCCATTTTTGAAATTTTTTTTTGAATTTTTGGAATGTTTTTTAAGTCTCCAAATTTTTTAAAAATATTTAAAAATATACGGCCAGCTAGTGTTCACCCTACTTTAAACCCTTGTCCTCCCGCGACGTCTATGAGAATGCCCCGGGAAATCCAACTCCAGCTGTGTTCAAGGTCATCCAGATGTGTAAACAATGACTCATCGGTGTTAAATTTCACAGAAGGGCGAGACAAAGGAAGTTAAACTTTGAAGCTTTTTCTTCAAAATTAACGCATTTCTTTCTTTTTTTTCAGTTTTAAGTATTTTTTATGTTTAATTACATTTATATCAAAAATTGCTAGGAACTAAAGCGATTAAGGTAGATCTAGCTGTCCTTTACATCCATAAACGTTATATGTCAGTGGAACAAATGGAGTGAGCTTTGAGCGTTCCACGATTTTTGGAGACTGTCTATACGCGAGCTTCCTAAACAAGCCTATATCTATGCTTGTCCAAGAAATTTTTGGATGACATACAAACTGCACAACTTCAAAATCGCATAAAAATAATCCGCATAAAAAGAGATCTTACAGTAATTGAATTGTTTTAAAAATGTGAATGAATTCTTCAAAGACCAAAACTAATTTCTAAAGGCAATGCTGACATTTTCAGTATTATCAATAAATTACCATTTTGAATATAGCTAGAATAAAATTTAAACAATAGTTAGCTTAATTTATTGCAGGAGGTTTTATTCTGGAATGTTATGCCTCTAAATATTCTTAAATAAATTATACTTGCATCCTAACACATTGTATGTATATATTGCATATAAGAGAAAACAAATATGGCAAATATACTATTGCAAATAAAACATGATTCAGACAAATATGCAGATTCCTATGTTTTTTGGTATGAAATGTGGATTGTTAACCATGCCTGCATAATTTCCTACAAAAGAACCTTCCATTTCATCAGTTATTAGATATGCTAGTTACAGAAATAAGCTAATGAAGTATGCATTTATGATACAAAAGTCAGATTTTAGTTATCTGAATATTACTCAAAATTGCATTTTTGTTCAGGGAATCTTATTCTATTTAAAAGGTCATAAGCTGTATTTTTGTGAAAGGTTGTAAGAATATTTGTGAAAGGTTGTAAGAAAGGTTGTAAGAACTAAAATTTTATATTCTTTTTATTATACAGGGTTCTTCCAACAGGAAATAGTCATGGCAAGTTTCCTCGTCAATGTGTTTCCTCTGCTTATGTTAAACATGTGCTGCTTTTTTGTTTGGTTAGTTTTGTGGGAAGAAAGAAAATGATGTAACTATTTATTATAAAGTTTCTCTATAGTAAAAAATTTACTTACAGAAATACCATTAGTGTAAATGAGTAATTAGAATTTTAACTACGCACGAATATAAAAGTTGACCTTTATTTATTCTACCATAATTTTGCACTTGTAAATTTTTGCAAAACAGTTAACTGTTCTGCTCTGTAAAAGGTGCTTTTACTAAAATTAGTGTCAATGTATATTTAATGTTAATATGAGATGTCTATAAAAAAATATTTGTAATTAGTATTAAAAATGTTTTTGCCAAATTATTGGAAATGTCTTGTACAAATTTAACTCTAGATTTTTATATTATGTTGAATTGCATGTGTTTTTACTTAAGTCCAAATGCTTTAAAAACTGTAGTAATAAATTATAAATAAAATTTGAATCTTACAGTTTCTGAAAGTCTTNAAAGATAATTTAAATTATTTATAACTTTTGGAATAAATTTCAATCGAACAAACTTTCTACGTCAAAATTTTGTTTAGACACATATTTGGATTAATTAAGACAAATCAGTTTTCTACCTCAGATAAATTAAAATTATTACACAAACAACAAATGCATTTTTGAACATCCTTACCATATTTCTATGCAGAAATAAATTAGATAGTGTAGTTAGTTCAACTATAGGGGTGGCTAGCAAACTGGAGGTGGCCTTACTGGAGAGTCGATGTTCTATGTCCCTACAGAAAATTAACTGAAATTTAATGTTTTAAAGCATATTTTGATGTATTTTTGACTCTAGCAAATGGAGAACTGTATACCTACAGTGATATTCTTTATCTACAAATTATTTTAAACTAGAAATTCCCTGTCAATCATGACTGAATACTTTTTATGAGAAAGTAGAGATTGAAGAATTGAGAAGAGTAGAGATTTCAAGAAGTTCAAGAAGAGTTGCTAATATTTCTACAAATTAAGTATTGATAATTTGCTAAATTAAGTTATCTGTTATAACATAAAGAGCAACAAAACAAAATTTCACCTGGAGTGGACAAAAATAGTAATTCACTTAGAGTTAGGCCTTTATATTAAAATAATAAAATCTTTAGTGTTTACTCGTAATGTAGTGTATATTGTCTTTTAAAAGACTTTTCTTGCTATCTTTTTTTAGTAGTAGACACCGTAATATTATTTTGATGATTGACCTTGTAATGCTGTTTCTGCAGCCCTTGACAGTCATTTCTTAAGAATAATTTTTGAGCTTGTAAATATAGGCCTGTGCCAATTTCATGAAACAAAGTTTTAAAATATTTTATTACAATAATTACTAATACAAAAGCTGTTGTCTGTGTGTGAATTCCTTAACTCCTGAAATTTTTGTCCAATTTAGATGAAATTTTGGTTATTCGTTTTATGTTCTGATGGAAGGTATAGGCTACTCATTTTGTGGAAATATTAACTGCAGGATAAAACGTTTTATCGATTTCGGATCGGTGATCATACGTTGCAATGATGTCAGTGTCCTCATTTAGTTCATGTTTGACGAGGGAATTTCCCTTAAGTTGCATTTTTAAATATTTGGAAAATAGCGTATTTTAAACTTCATTACATTTAAACTTTAAAAAAAGATAGCCTCATCGTGTCACTTCCATAACAAATTTTTTAATCATCTTTCCATGGTGACCACGTAATGTTCTGTTATCCATTTGGAAGTAACTATCTAACGAGCCCGTTATTTAGAAAGCAATTAACAGGTTATTACTAAATCTTTAAGATTTTACGCTTTATAAAAGAAAGCCTTCAAATACTGACTTTTGTTTTGGTTTATTTTCCTTACATTTTTGTCTATAATAATAAAGTTTCGGTTCGCAAGTCTGGCGCTTGGTGGGTGGGTTCATCTATATCGAAATATACTATACAGTATTTAACGTTTCTGCAAAAACTTGCTTTAAAAGTTATTGTGACATCGTCACACTGCCAGGCTGCAACTTTGTCACAATGTTCTCAATTTTTAGTGTCTTGCCCCTGTACATCATACTTTTCCTGTTAACAATAGTGTAATGTCGGTCATTTAACTGCTTTTAAAAGAATATTTTTGAATTGAAATAACGGTTGTTGTTAATTATAGTTGACCGCTAAGCTTTCCATATCTGGTCTCGCCGTTCATCTAATTCAGTTCTGAAGGTAAAGGGAAGACACTGACACTAGTGGGAATTTATAGGTCTACAATTTTTGATAATTGTATCCCAAAAAGTAGATCCAATTATTTCTTGGGGACTCACTGAAAATTAAATCTGTGGTCAGGATTTCCGTGGTTGCAAAATTTTATCTGTAGCTACAATTATTCTTAAGACTCTTTTCAAATGCACCTCTATGCAATGAAATTTCTTGCATAAAAAAATTGGGTTTTAGACAATTTTAAAATATTGTCTAAATGCTTATATATAGTAAGTTGAAGAAATTGGCAACTTATTTATATTGTGACTGTAGGTATAAAATTATGAACAAAAAGTATATAGTATTTTAATTAAAGATTACAGGCATACCTCGAGTTACGTCGTTCCCGATTATACGTCGTTTGTCAAAAAAGTATATGGAAAAATAAAAATCAAGTTTAAGTCATTTTATTCGACTTTCGTCTGTTCACCACAAATATTGAAGTCGTAATATCACTAGAAAAACTTTTAAAGCACATAAAATCATATTAAAAATGTACGAGTATGTTCTGTATTTACAGTACATGCATTGGTAAATTTAGAATACTTTTTTCTGTACTATATTAAAAACTAAAATTTGTTTGTAAGCTTAAAATAGATTTTTATTAACCATATATTATTAAAAATGCATTAATAAATAAAATACAGAACTGGGAATAGTAATTTATGGTTTAGCCTAGTGACAAGTAGATTCGGAGACAAGTAAATTCGACTTACGTCGTTCTCCTGGAACCAATTACCGACGTAAGACGAGGTATACCTGTATAAAAAAAGTCTCGTCAAATACAAAGCAAATGTAATAGCAAAAGTATGAAATGGTGTCAAAATGCCATATTCCCCAAAAGTGAGGTAATATGACTATACTCAAAAATGATGGATAGTGCCAACCAGTTGACATTGTTCTTAAAAGGATAACTAACAACTAACTGCCTAATTGTAAAAGTAAGTAATAATTGAGTACTGGTAAGTAAATTTTTATGAATTGTCCTCTGCACAAAAACGATCGGATGCTGTGCATATATCATGATTTCAACGCAGACACTGCGCACATTGGATCTAGTCTTTTTTCATTGGTATGATATCTACAGAATTTTGCACAAAATGAAAGTGAATCGCAATTGGATGCCTCAATTATCAGGAGAAGAAACATCATTCTGAACTAAATGGTTTGTGGTCTGACTGTTTTTCTTCCTTTTTGAAGAGTTTACTGATTTTTTTTCAATGTTGAATTTCAGCTGCTGTTCTTGCCTCTGTTTTAGGTGATGTAAGAACTTCCAATCTCCTTATCTATTCTGCCATTCCTCTCAAAAGTATTCCAGTAAAAAACTTCCTAACCTGCTCTATCGTGCACTTGCTCATCTCTTTCAAACACTACAATCTTCGTTTTCTCCCCATTTACAGTAATACCCCGAACTTACGCGATAGGTGGGACCGAGCGACAACCGCGTAAGTCGGGGTATAATTTCGCAATTTGTGTAAAATCCAAGTCGGATGTATGTAAGCTAATAAATGTTCTCGTTAATCTTGTCTTTTGATTCGTTTACGGTTACAAGAAATCACCACATAGTCTCTCAAGTCTCCGTAGGTATAAGTCATATAACAAACAAATAAATAACACAAAGTAAATTGTAGCTATGCGTCGATTCCGCGCAACACATCCGAACATGTAAACTAAACAATAGTGTGGGGGAGTGAGTAATCAAGAGTTGTGTGGCGCTCAAACAAAAGACGAATCGACAAGATTTGAAAATCGCGTAAGTCGAGGTATTACTGTATTCTCAATGCCATTTTTTCACAGTTCTCATTCAACTTAAGAGAACTGCAATATCTTATGTTTTAGTTTTCAGTGAGAAGAACAGTATCATCAGCATATAAGCAATTGAACAGCGAATGGGTGTGAAAGTGGATAGTGAGACTATCCACTTTCACACCCATTCGCTCGTCTTTCGACTGTCTCACACATTTGTCCAAGTACACATTGAACCACTCTGACATTTCCCCAGCCACTCTAACACATGCTCTGCTGTTCTCATACAATGCTTTTATTGCCTCAAGCTGCTTCCCCCTCACCCCATACTCGCAGAGAACATCCTACGAGTATTCTCTTTTCACTCGTCATATGCTTTCTTCAAATCCACAAACGCTGCAAAAAAAGAAACACTTGTTTGCACCCAAGTACTTCTCAACAATCATTTGCAATCCAAAGATTGATCCATGCAATTCTTTCCTGCCACAAGTCCACACTGAGCTTTCCAGATGGTCTCCCTAGCAATTCTCATTACACTCTCCACTAGAACTTATGCAAATATCTTTCCTGGGACGCTTAGCAGACTTATACATCTATAATTCTTACATTCTGTACTGCCATCTTTCCTTTTATACAGAGCAACAATAACATCGTCTCTCTAATCATTAGACACCCACCCACTCTTTCCACTTTAGTTCATTCTTAACAAGTTTTTTTGCGGGCAGAGGTGGTTAACACTTTGCCCAGGGCCGGCCCGTTCATATAGGCCAGTGTTTCTCAACCTCTAACGAATCGTCGCCCCCTTCAACGTAGTATCGCCCCCTTCACTACAAAATTCCGATGCCGAGGGACAAGGCTAACGCCAAATTCGTACTGCATCGAATCGACTAGTGACTATATAATGTTATTTGTTTAATTATTGTACGATATAACGAATAAAATATCTAATTATTCTTAATATAATGTTTTACTATATCGTCCAGAAAATTGTTTTTTCTTCCCCAAAATATAAATTGTTACTAATCGCCCCTTGAACATGAAAAAATGCCCACATGGGGGCGATATCGCTCCCGTTGAGAAACACTGATATAGGCGAACTAGGCGAAGGCCTAGGGCGCTTAGAATTCGGGGGGCGGCATGGATAAAGTACATGCATAAATTACAATAAATAATGAAAAAATAAATGTTTTTTGATCACTATCCTTTCTCACGTGTTGGCCCGTGAGTCGCCATTTTGAAAGTAGCGCCGTTGTCTCACGAACGCGATATTGCGTGCTGCATACTGAATAAAAATTAGATACTCTTGGGTGACGTTAAAGTCATTTGCCTAGGGCGCTGAGTTTACTCGGGCCGGCAGTGACTTTGCCCAACCCCCAACTTGGAAAAATAGGATACTTCCTTAGTCTGACCTCTCACCTGCAACGTTTCCGGCATTGGCAACGGCCGCGTTTCTTTATGCAGCGCTCGAGAAGCGCTTTACAGCG